TCCCTTTCTGGTGCTGGGAAGCCCTTCAAGTTTTTCTGGAAGTATTTGCTTGTTTCTTGCTCAGATGGAGAAAGTGAAATGAGGACCACCAAGGGGTGAGTTTCCCATTTATGTCCCAGGCAGTCACACTGGTGGCCCAATCCCAGCCTCTCCATCATGTCTACAAATCATTGCAATATAATGTAAGAGATGTCATTTATGTAACAGTCATGGCAAGGAGTGACCACCGTGAGTTTGCTCTCAGAGGGTAATGGAAGGCTCCAGAAATATGTGCCTTGAAGAAGAGGAAAGAAGAAGATGGGAAGGTTTGAAGAAAGCGAGAAAAAGTGAGAGTACTCGACGGTGTCAAATACTGCTGAGAGGTCAAATAAAAGGAAGCACTGCAAAAATGATCAATGAATGTGGCAATTAAACAGTTACTGGTGGTTTCATCCACGGCAGTTGGTGGAGTATTGAGAGCAACAACCAGGTTGCCCTGCAGTGAGCAAGGGTTAAGAGGCAGTGGTGAGGAAGGTCGGACAATTCTGTCATCTGAAATATCCTATTAAGTTAGGTTCTTCTGGTTAGGGACATTGGAGAAAGAGGAGAGGAAATGATTTTTAATGTCATAGAAAATGTTTTCATTTTTCTACCTTTCCTCTGTGTGAGGAGAGAAAGGGAACACGTGCAGACTAGCAGTGGAAGCTGCTCAGTGAGGGCACACAAAATGCCAGGACACCTCCAGGCAGAGAAAGCCCCACCAGAATCTGTTGGAATTAACACATTTGTTCTATTCCCTTTTTTATCCCTTCTCTTCCCCTTCCCTCCTGTTCTGCTCCTCTTAGACATAATTATTGCTTGGGTAGCTTTCTGTCAAATGTCTTGAACTTTTCATGAAGACACTCATCATGAGACTCTGACAAAAAAATATAAAAATCCTGGGATTTTGGGTTTGTTTGTTTGTTTTGAGACAGGGTCTGTTGCCCAGGCTGGAGTGCAGTGGTGTGAGCATGGCTTACTGCAGCCTCAACCTCCCAGGCTCAAGTAATGGATTCTCTTATCTCAGCTTCCCGAGTAACTAGAACTGCAGGTGCATGCCACCATATCCAGCTAATTTTTTGTATTTTTTGTAGAGATGGGGTTTTACCATGTTACCCAGGCTGGTCTCAAACTCCTGAGCTCAAGTGATCAGCCTGCCTTAGCCTCCCAAAGTGCTGTGATTACCAGCGTGAACCACCGTACCCAACCAATTTGGGATTTTGAAGTGATGATTTAGGCTTTTAAGCAGTCAATCTAAAATTACATCAATCTAATATTGGCTGAGCATTGGGGATCGATACGTTTCCTGATTTGCTCATATCATCTGATACATGTGCACCTCTTAGATTTCACTCCTATTTCCAAGTAGTAGACTGTAAATAGAAATTCTCCTATTATAGGAATTTCTTAATTATCCTTAGGGGTAGTAGAAAGAAAATTTGAAAATAAGAGTAATTCATCTAAAAAATATATGTTAGTCATTGTTTTTCAACTAAACCTAAAAATTTAACCAGAACTCCTGATAAGAAGTCAAGTCAAGATGCTAACTGGAATTTTACCTTTTTTACAATATCTGTGAAGGTGGTAATTAGCACTTACTTGATCAAGGGTGGGCTGGTAATTAAAAGAAGGAAGAATATGGGCAGAAAGCCCCACAGCACACACAAGACTGATTTCAACCATGTTTTTTAAGCAACAGATTTCCAATGAAGCCTCATGTAGAAGGTCAATATACAAATCAGATTTTAAGGTATAAAGGTCAAACAGAGCTTCTCTAAATTAAGCAGAGCTGGTATCCCTCCAACTTTTTCTCCTCAGGGACTGTCATGGAAGTAACACCATAGAACTTATTATTTTAATTCTGTGTAATAATGCATTTTGTTTGTAAGCATTTAATAGTTTGCAAAGCTCTGTCATTTCATCATGTCGCTTGATTTTTATAACAATTCTATGAGGTAAGCAGACTAGATATTACTATTATTATTGCCACTTTGCACATGACTTGCATAAGGTCATCTAGCTTATAAATGATAGATCTGGGATCCAAAACCAGGTCTTTAAAGATCTTATACTATGATCCACTATTAAATCCTTCACTTGTCAGATCATTATATTCTTGTTCGGAGTTAGAATATATGAGATATTTTGGCTAGCATGCCAAAGGATAATAGCAATTATCATTAAATTAAAAATAAAAAAGCAAATAAATGAGTTTTTACATTTTGACCCTATATGTAAAAAGGTAAGTGCATATTTTTAATAGAAAATTAAACTCATATGAATAGTTAGTGTAGGCAATAATCAAATAAACACTTTCCCTGCTAAGCCTCAGCAAGTCAATCCCTACAAAGTTTAGGTATATAAAATATGTGACAAAGACTTTTCTCCTTGAATAGCATAAAACAGTGTTTTCTAATATGGCTTTCCAATTGAATTAATCAGATAATTTTTTTAAAATGCAAATTTCTGTCCCCTCTATTGAAAATATAAACCAATAGCCATGGGTTTGAGCCCTTCTTCAGATGTGGGATTAGCTTTGGAAAACACTGGTATCAAGTCATACGATGGACTCTGCCTCCCCAGTTACTTCCTGAAAGTGGGCTAGAAGTTTTGGGAGAGGGCTTGTCAGGCCACAACAGTGTCACTTATTCAATTATAGCATTAAATTATATCCAGTGACTGAAAGAGTCAGTGCATATCCAATTATGCCTAATTTATACCGTGGGACATGCTTGTTCTCGCTCATTGTAAAATCCTGGTAGAATCACAATTTAACAAACTTGACAGGACATCAGAAATCGCTATGTTGTCTCCAAAGCTCATTAAATGAAAGCCTACACTTTCTTCTAAGGTTCAGAGAGGGTCTACGTTATTATTATTTTTCTATTGGTTTATGTGAGGCATATGTTCCACAAATACTTTATTGGAAAACAATAATCCGTCAGACGGAGCCCCTGAGAAAATGGGGCATTCTGCCACCAGAGCAGGGAGGCCTGAGAGAGGAAACACTTCAGTGTCCTTCATGGCTGTAGCATTTAATGGAATGTAATATATTCTTAATAAATTTGACATGTCGCAAAATATCACTGGTGCAGCCTGCGTGGTTGAGAGAGCCGGTAGCTAGCTGACGGGGGTTTGCCTGGATTCTGACCTCTATGCCTTTCTCCATTTTGATTGTCTCTGACCCTGGCACCTTCTTATTTTCTTACGGTGCTAACGGTCCCTTCTCCATGTTTTTGCTGGTCCCGTGGTTAATCCTGGCTTCTGTTTGTGGGCACCCCCACCCATTGCCCAGCCCCGAGGACCCTCCCGACTGCACCTGTTTTCCCTTGGCAGGTGGCATTTGCCTTGTGACTTCTGCCGTCCAAATCTGCATTGCCAGCTCCTGTCCCCAGACATTTAAGACATTTCTACCCCAAAAGACTCCTGCTACCTCCCCGAGGAACTCATGATCCCAAAGCCTGCCCACATGTCCTTCCCTGGGACATGATTTCCCTGTTTCTGGGAAAGGTTTCGTGATTCCTCTTCATGCCAAAGGTTGAAGCTTGAAGCCACATTTGAAGAATACAGAGAGGTACAAAATGCTATGAATTGGAAATCACACAGGGCCCAGTTCGAATCCCTGCTCTGCCACTTCGGCACTGTAGAGTTATTTCACATCTCTGAACCTATCTCCTCAACCACAAAATGGAGAAAATAAGAACTTTTTTGTGACATGATTGTAGGGATTGGTGGCATAGCCGCTGGAACATGCTTGGCCGCAGGGCACTCAGTCAGTGCCCCTCCCTCCGTTCTTCACTGTTCTTTTCACTCTCTGCCTGCCAGCCTTTCCTGTCAATGGCCTCACCCTTCCTTTCTATTCTGTTCCCAGAGCCAACAGAGTCTGGGCCCCAGCTGAAGTGCAGACTCCACAACAGCCTCCTGGGAGTTTCTCTGTCCTCACTAGTAACATATTTATACCCACTGTTTTTGGATTGAAATTATCAGACTCAAACTCAACTCTGCCACATACTAGTCACAGGAAAAAAAAACAAAAAACAAAAACTCTCTAAGGTTCAGCTGTCACATCCACAAAATGGGCCCAATATCATAGGGTTAATTGTGAGGATTAAGGGAAACAACACTTTTAAAGAACTTGGCATTGTCCTGGGCACATATTACCACTTTAGATGACGAGATTACAAATTGTAAACATCCATTCCTTCCTATCATATTCCTACACAGAGAGCTCCAAGGCTTTCTCCTCCCAACCACACCCCAGAGCCAAAATACCTTTAGAAAAAAGGACGAATTATTTCTTTCCGCATTCAGTTTCCCCATCATACAGAGGTAACGCTCTGTAAAAAGCATTACCCACCATGCCTTTCTCATTGAAAGGGATTCTCTTCCTCTCATTTGACTGATCAAAATAACGAGCCAAGTCTAGAGAAAAGGTCTTTAGAAAGCATTTGAGAATTGTTTATGGCTTGGGTCAGAGAGTAAAAGAAGGGGAAATAGGTTAGGAAGATAGTTTTGTTTCAGCTTCCCAGAGGACAGGGCCTTCACAGGGCAGAAACAAGAGGAGACAGTTGCAGGACCAGAGAGAAACACACCTCCAAGGATGTGCTGAGAAATTGCTGCAGAAATCTCAAGGACTTTTAAAGAACATGATCTCTGAGAAAACACTGGAATACAGTCACCTCATGAAGAGCTGAGCAAGCGTCCAACTGGAAGAAATCTGAGAAGAGTAGAGCCTACTGCTCTGAGACCATGTAGGTCAAGGACCAGGAAGACCCGTCTGCCCTATGTTCTAGTGACCACAAGTCACCCAAAGCAACTGATGCTCACGAGACAGGAAGGTTGTAGGACTCTCAGTCAGCATTTGCTACTGACGAACTAATATAGGCTGGTAGTGCTTTCTGTTAACTAAACCCCGCATCTAAACTGGTTTGTTAAATTGGGCCAGTGGAGCTGGACTGACTTGTAGGGTTTCTTTCCCCCAGGGCTGGCGGAGAACTCAATGCCAAGTGAAGCATGATACAGCACTTCCTGCAAGTAACTCAATTCTCTTGGACCAGAGCACCTCAGACACCAGGGTGACCTCAACCTAAAAGCATATGGAATGACATCCTGCCACCCAACCTGCTCTCCTCCCTTCCTCCCTGTCCCTCGATGGACCACACTCAGCTCCCTTCCATCACGATGCTCCTGCTTCTCCTCCTGCCTGAAATGCTCCGAGACACGGTGAGGTCATTAGAAACCAGGCAGATCTAGATCTACCTAGAAAATAGTTCTGAACATACATCCCACCTCTTCTGCTTCCCAGCCTGGGGATCCTGAGGTATTAATATAAGCTCGCTGCTTCATTTTCTGTCTCTGTAATATCAGAGTACCTATTTTAATAACATGTTATAGGGATAAATGGAGTAATGCAGGCAAAATGCCTGGCACAGTGCACAGTCTGTAGCAGGCAGTCAATAAGTGTTCACTCCATTCCCACCGTACATGTTAATGTCTTTATGTCTAGACAAATATTACATATGCCTCGGGGTGCAATTCCAGTCTCATCTCATTAAAGAACCTCCAGTTATCATCTCCCATTCTGAAGTCCTACTTAGCTTAATAGCTTTACCACGAACTCAGGCACATCAACCACCATTGTTACTCATCTATTCTGACACAGATGTCTTGTTTGGCTAATTCAATAAATGTTTCCAAAGGGGACAGCTGGTGTCAATGACAATTCTGTCTTATCACTCCAACTTCCTACTGTATCTATCTATCATTGTTATAGATGCCCAATATATTTGTGTGAGTAAAGGAGTCAGTGAAAAAATCCCAGTGCAAGGGTAAAAGGCCAGTTATAGGTATAATCCCTACTGGATTATAATTTTGTTGACTTCTTTACAAATTTGTAATCCAGTAGGGATTGAGCATCCACATTTTTGAAGCAGATCAGTGGTGGTTAGCATAGAAGAGAGTACAGTGGAGTAAAGATGCTGAAGGTGAAAAAGAAGATGAAGAGAAAGGCAATGTTGCAAGAGAGGCCAGTTGGGAGGTTAAGTGGGCTTCATGGAGGTATTACAGATTCTGAGTTAGACAGGAGGTTGACAAGCATTACCACCTGAGCTCCGCCTCTTGTCAGATCAGCAGAGCCATTAGATTCTCATAGGAGTGGGAACCCTATTGTGAACTGCGCATGCAGGGTGTCTAGGTTACGTAATCCTTATGAGACTCTAATGCCTGATGATCTGAGGTGGAACAATTTCATCCCCAAACTATCCCCCCACCACCTTCTATGACATTGGTCTCTGATGCCAAAAACGCTGGGGATGCTGCTGCCCTATATGGTGAAGAAGATATTTAGCTGTCCGCCAAAACATATTCTCTGTTACTTTCACTATCATAGAGCTATGGCTGGGTACATGGTCATCTTGCCAGGGCCTCCATTTCCAACCATCCTTGCTATAAGAGGTGGCTGTTGGACACAGTCTTCACCAGTAGGTTGTGAGTGGAAGTGATGTGTGCAGTCCCTAAGGTGGGACCCTTTAAGGTAGTGAATGGGCCTCTCCCACATTTTCTCCTTTCCTTTACGGCTGGTTGGGACCTGGCTGTATCAGTGACCCAGCCTTGACTATGCAATTCTAAGGCCCTAGAGCCTGAAGAATGGCAGAACCACCACAATATGGAAGGAATATGGGCCTTGAATGACTGCAGAACACCCCCGACATCCTGTGATGAGACAGGAGTAAGCTTTTTGCTCACTGGTTTCGGCCATATGGTTAAAAGCCATATCGTTGTTGGGTCTCTTGTTATAGCTTAGCTGCTACAACCTGATTGACACATTATATTTGTACCTATGGAATATATCTCTTAGAATTTTTAAATATAAAAGATAATAGTGTAAAAAACAGTATAGCAAGCTTTTTTGTTCCTACTAAGTAATATGTTTTGAAGATTTTTTCAAGTCATGTGTGTATGTCTTGGATATAGATGATAGATAGATACAGTAATTCTACCTCATTTCTAAATATGCAGTATTTCACAGTATCAATGAACCATAGTTCATGTAACCAAGTATTAATACTACTGACATGAACATCCATGTACATGCCACTGTTCACATGCACAAGTATTTCTCTAGAATAAATATCTAGAAATGGAATGGTTGAGTTGAACCGTTGTGAACCTTTAAGAATTTAATATATATTTACAAATTGTCCTCCAAAAAGCCTAAATCAATTTATATTCCATAAATCTATTTATTTGTTTGGTGTCTGTCTCCTCTCTCTCTCCCTGGAATATAAGCTCCTTGATGGCAGGAACCTTGTGTTGCCTTTACACATTACCATGCAATATGATGGTGCATGGTTCCCTAAAACACTGTCAGTATTAGAAAACTTTAAATTTCATTCAGCTAATAGGAAAAATAGAGAGAAGAAATTAATACAGAAAGAATGGGGAAAAAAACTAGAAAAATGAAAGTAGCTGGAATCTACTACTAACGGAAACCATCAATGCTCATGCTTCATGAAATTCTGAGTCATGTGGGTTCTTCAGACCAGCACAATAATTTTCAGTCCTAACCCTGCAATTCCTAACATCCCATTGCTTTCTTTCTGACTTCCTCCCACACCAGCCAGGTACACTACAAGCTATTCTCTTCACTATGATCATTATACTATGAGATTACAGCTTGCCTATACTTTTCAGGTGACCATGTGACCTCAGGTGATCCTGAGGATGAACTGTAGTGCATCAGTGAGTTTGACTGCACTGTCTCCATAGCAGAAGGCCCACTGCAGCTGCAAGGGACAAGCAATCCTTAATGCCTGTGTATTCCTCTAGTGCTTTTTTGGCACAAACAGAAGAATAAAACTTCCTCATCATTCCCTACTCTAATAGTTATGTGTGCAATATTCATTCACCAATGCATGCTTTTGCACTGAGTCCGTAAATAGAACTTTATTGGTGAATTATTGACAGAAAAGAATATCTGGAATATAAACAGGCCTGAGATAACTACAGAATGATTATGGGGAAGAGAAAGAAAAGGTGAGACAGGCATTATGTAAAGGGAAAAACAGCATGGGTTTACTTGGGTCCAGTCCCAGATCTTCCCAGTTATTGTGTGATTTTGCAAAAGATACTGAATCTTGTTAAGTCTCAGGTTTTCTGTCTTTTAGAGAAGACATACTCATTGAGTGCCTCCCATGTTCCAGCCTGCATTCTAGGTGTTTGGGATACAGCAGAAGGCAAACAAGGTTCCTGCCATGAGGGAGCTTATATTCCAGGGAAAGAGGGAAGACAGACACCAAGCAAACAGACAGATTTATTCAGGTATTCAAGAAATAGTTACTGCCTTCCTACTTTGTGCCAAAGATGGCTCCAGAAGTTTTATTTTGTTTTTAAGAAATTGCCTTCCAGGACTGTTTTAAGAATTATATCTAATATACTGAAGAGCTCTGACAGAGTTCAAAATGTGTAGTATACACTCAGTAAATGGCAGCTATTATTATCATTTTCTTCTGTGTCTGTTCTCCCTCTCCTTTCAAGAAATATTTTATTTTCTGTATGTGCTTGCTTATGTGTTTATTGGCCTATTTGTTTATTCATTACTGCTCTAGCTATAGTTTAGTATTTTGTCTTTGCATCTTGTTTCTGGCAGCCTTTGCTTATTTAGAATGACAGGTAGAGCCACAGTTAAAACTTGGTCTGCAACTGCATTCGGACTTCTTGAAACTGGGAGGCAAACTATAGAAAAGAATGGATATCCAGACTCCTTCATCAACTCTTCCTCAACATGCAGCAGGGTCTTTAAGCAGCATCTTAGTTTCTAGTGTTGCAGAGTGGTTTGACGGGTGGTCCTGGCTGGAGATATTGTTTTGGCAGATAATGATCTAGCAGAGGAACACGGAAGATGGAGACATGAAAGGACAGGCAGGGAATGGCTGAGAGAATAGGCAGCCTCATGGAGTTAGAGAAAGCAGAATCAGAGATGACCATGGTGCCCACTCTTACCCATTCCCACCCAATTCTCCCAGTCAAGTCTAATGAGATGTTTTTTCTGACCTTCCCAACCTCAGGTCTGGAGTTAAGCCCACAAGGTGTTTCCAGAGCCCATGCCATAGATCTTACCATACTCCAGGACATGTGGAGACCCTTCCTGGTACTTATCATACTGTATGGCAGTTGCCTGATACTCATCTTGATGCCTCTCCTGCTATCAGCAATTTAAAGGCAGTAGTGTTGTCTTCACTACTGCACCTTCTATGTCAAAGACAGAACCTCATGTATGTTAGGCCCTCAATAAATGCCCATTACATGAATGAAAGAAGGCAGAGACGGAGGAAGAAAGCAGAAAAGTTAACAGAATAAAGGTATTGAGGTAAGGCACAAGTAGAAAATGAATGTGCAGAAGGAGTGGAAAAGCAACTTTGACTTTCAAATAGTAACCCTCCTTCAGCAGTACCACTTGGACAAAAAGGCCAGACAGAAACTCAGACCAGGATAGGGCCACAGACAAGAACCTGGACTGGGATGCCCTTTTCTATCTGAGAAAATGAAATTGGACTTTTGTCCTCTAAAATCCACATCTGTCTCTTCACCTAGTTGATGCTGATGATGGCAATGAGTCAGGTAGATCACACCTTATCTATAGAATGTTCTTCAGCTCCATGAAGTAGTCTTAATGTTTGGGGCCAAAGATCTAGAAATCTTCTGTTGGTCTAGCCTCCCTCATTTTCTAGTATGTATGTCAAAATCTTCAAATAGACTATCTCAACTGATAATAGTATTTTTCCCTTTTAAGCACCTTTTTGCAACTAGCTCAAATTTAAATGATAAAGAAAAATTGACGGCATCCTCTTTACTATCTTATTAAACCATACTTCTATTAATGATGATTCACTGAAGGGCCATGAATAGCTACACTGAAAAATTCTGTAGCATATTAATGTGCTGAGCATCATACCACACTTAGCTCCTGATATAATTTTAAGTTCCCTCTGGGGGGAAAAACAGTTTCTCTGGATTCTTTTTATAAAAAGCACCTTGAAAAAGCTTTCAGATACTCAAAGACATGAATCTTGTTCTGTTCCCTTGTGTATATCTGATTTAAAGGTTAATAAGTAATTAGGAAGAACACTCATCCAAAAATTACCAATTAATATGCCATCATTTTCATTAAAAATGCTATTAATTATATTGTTGTACAAATGTCTTGGACTGGCTAATAAAAAGTTACCTAAAGCAGTTCTAAATATTTCAGAGAGAGAGAGAAATGAATCAAAATCAATCACTTCGTAACATTATGATTTGGGTTGGAGAAATCAAACAAAGGAGAGGAAATGAGTGTCTCAATTATTTAGCGTGGATAGAATCTGACAGAGTTCCATGGTTTATTTTATGTACTGAGTCATTATTACTAAGAAAACCTAATAAGATATCTTGGCAGATATTTAATGTGGAAGTTTGACAAATAACAGTTCTTTGCTTCTTATGATATAAAGCAGCTCTCTATAGATGAGATCATACTTTTAAACTACCCAGATATATTTTGTTGGTTTCCTAGGAGACTGTAAATGCAAAGTTATGACCTAAGTATGTTATGTATTTAAACTTTGTTCTATACCTTAAATGCTGGTATTAGTCACTTATTCAAAATTCACAGGATTTCAACGTTGAAGAGTTCCTGATTAAACTTGTACCATCGCTCCAAGAACTCTACTAGATTTAAATGTATGTTAACAGTTTTATGAGTCCCCAAACTGTTACTGTGCTCTCACCGTCCTATCCTGTCATCTCCTGCATGGATCAAACATCTATTTCTATTGTGATCATTATGACTAAGCTGGGCAGCTGGGTAGGGTTTGATAAAGATTACCACTGTGCACGTTCCAGCTCAACACCCTTTTGATACGTAACAAACTATAATGGGGATACTTGTCATCAATGAAATGAACCAAGTATGGTGTTAAGAACTACAACATCAACTCAGGCACAAACTAATGATTTTCCGATGCATCATAGATACGTAATGGTTGCTAGGCAACCAAATATTTCAACACTGGCACAGGGGAAAACTTCTATTGCTAAGCTGGGATTGGCCACTTTAGCAATGAGTTCTGCATGGGATTGTCTGTTAGTATCTTTGGTATAGGAAAAAAAAAAAAACTTAAAAGACAATCTGAAGACTAATCCCAAGCGTGCACCTATTTGAGCAGCTCTTGAGATGGAAACTTTTATCCCTCAAGGCATGTTTGTATCTTCTTCCTCACATTGAACAAAGATGTGTCTTCTCACGGATCTCATTCATTGGCCCTGTTCTTTACCCAGAGCAAGTTACTTCCTCTTCAATGTGCTAACTCTGAACATCTGTAGAGGGCTATCATGTCTTCTCCAAATCTTTCTTTCTCCAGGGTAAACACAACCAGTTCATTCATTTCCATTTCTTCACATACTGCTTACTTTCCCCTCACAATGATACCCTAATATTTCAAACTGGCAATAACTGGGTGGTTAATAACTGGGTGGTTGTTGTTTTGCTTATAGTTATAGTTAATGACTTAAAGGCTTCTGCATAGTTGGACACTGCAATTAGAATTGTCACAAGAATAAAAAGTCAAAGGGTGTAGGGCAGGTGCTGGATCTTTTTTTATCCTGACTTGGGAAATGTAATCTATGAGTTAACATAGTCTTTGTGCCTTATTGGAACATTGTATGACAAATGGAAACTTTAAGTAAGACCTTCAGGGATAGTTACTAGATTTATACAGTGTAAGAACTGTTTCAGAGTATGTGATATAATTATTTCAAGTAATATTTTCTAAATTTGGCCATGCAGCTAAATCACTGGAGAGCTTCTAAAGATACAGAATACTGGGATCCATACCCAGACCTACTGACCAGGTGCCTCCATAAGTCCCCAGAGGAATAGCATTTGGCAGCCACTGATATAGGTAAATAACATGAAGGTCTGCCTTCCCACTTAGCTAAATTCTACCCATAATGCTCTCTGCTATGACATTTTTTGGTTGTTCTTGCAGCTAACGCTTCCATTTTCTTAAAAAGTCTCTTCTGCTAATAACTAGTACACATGGTTTAGTATTTAATTGTAAATTTTGCAAGGCTATTTGTCTCCTAGTTAGTTTATAAAATCCCTAAGAACAAGAACTGAGTGTTACATTTCCATGTGTCTTGCAGGGAGTATGGCACAATATTGAACAGAGTCATTGATTAACTGGTGAGGGGTTCTGGAAACGGTGGGAGAAAAAAGAAAATAAAGGAAGGTAGATACAGGAGGCTAAGCTAAAAATAATATAAATATCAGAGAAACACAAGATTTCAAGATTAATTCAGATTAAAAATGAAATTCAATGAAATGAAGCTTACACAAGATAAAAAAGATATAATACAGTTGAAAATAAAAGAATGAAACAAAATAGATCAGGAAAGCATGAAGAAAAAAAAGCAGGAGTGGTACATTCATGTTAAATAATAAATTGAAGAAAATTGGGAACTCAGGGGGAAAGGATGGGAAGGGGGTAAGGGAGAAAACACTACAAATTGAGTTCCATGTATACTGCTCGGGTGATGGGTGCGCCAAAATCTCACAAATCACCAGTAAAGAACTTACTCGTGTAACCGAACACCACCTGTTCCCCAAAAACCTATGGAAAGAAGAAATTTTAAACAAAGAATATATTGAAAAAAAGGTTAATTACATATTGATACAAGACAGAGCTGTAAAAAAGCTATGAGACTCAAGAAACACTAAGCTCAGAATAACATAGTATCATAGAAATACAAGGAAACACGTGAGGAGTATTAAAATTTCTTGCATCACCATAACTCTCTGTCAGGTCAAGGGGATAAAAATAAATAATTACAGACACAAAGCACTTGAATTTTGTAATGTTTGGATAAATATCTGCACGCTGATACAACCTTGGACCTTAAGAACAGGAAATGCATCTTCTCAAGTGTCATGTACCAGGTATAAACACTGATCATAATCTGCACTAAAAAATACTGCAGTGCATTTCTAAGGTAAAAACTGTGCCTTATTATTTCAATAATAAAATACTAAAATTACTACTAGAATTTCAAAGGAAAAAGAAAAACCAGATTACTTGGATATTTTAGAAGTGGTTGCGTAAATAATGACTGAGGCAGTCAAGCAAACTAGAAAATAACAAAAGTGAGAAACAAAAATCTATAAGATACAGCCAAAACTATTTTTTGTAGTAGACTTACAGTCCTAAATACTTCAACAGAAAAATAATTATGAGAACAGAACTAAATATTCTACTCAGAATTTATAGGCAAAAAGACCAAACAATTAAAAAGAAAGCTGGAGAAAGGAAATAGTAAACACAGAAGTCAAAATAACAATAATGATGATGAGATTAAAAAATTTGTCCTTTGTAGAATTGGTAGCTAAGATAAAGAACAGGTTCTTCAAATAAAACAGACACACCTCTGGCAAATTTAATTTAAAAAATAAAAGGAAAACAAATAATTTATAAATTATCTACGTAGTCATATTTAGAGAGAAGACTGACTTAGTGTAAAATAATTTTAAGTGATAAAATTGAAAATCTTAGTGAAATAAATAATTCCCTGAGAAAAATGTAAATCAAGATGAACTTAATGCAAAGAAATCCTATAGGAAAATAAAGAAGAAATTGTACTACTTATGAAGATGTGACTGTTACTTCAAGTGAATATTTTAGGAATTTCAGGAGGACCTGGGGCTCACCGAGAGAGGAATTTGGATATCGACAACACTTTCTACAATTTAATTAAAGAAGTGGGCTTAAAGTTCATGTAAAAATGAGCTAGATTTTTATTTAGAATTGAAATTGGAAATAAAAAATAATTCTAGAAGACAAATGATCAAATAGAACTTTCTGTTTAAAATGGCAAAGAAAAAGTTAAGGAGACTGGAGCCAATCTCAAGACGAACCAAGGGAAATCTAGAAGTGGCAGGAGCTTCAATTACACAGGACACGTTTAGAAGGATTTTCTACAGAAGCAGTCCGAGGGAAGTCTGCTCAGATAATAGACCAAGTTCTCCCCAAGCTTGGGTTTACACCCAGCTCCTGAGTGACTATGGCGAGAATGGCCTTAGAGAACATGAAGGGTAAAATGACCAGCAGTGCAAATGGGGCCAGGAGAGATGCCCTCATAAGAGGAAAGAGTCATTCCCTCTTTGAGCAATCACTTTATTTATTTATTTATTTATTTTTTTTTTGAGATGGAGATGGAGTCTCTCTCTGTTGCCCAGGCTGGAGTGCAGTGGCACGATCTCAGCTCACAGCAACCTTCACCTCCTGGGTTCAAGCAATTCTCCTGCCTCAGCCTCCTGAGCAGCTGGGATTACAGGCGCGTGCCAACACGCCCAGCTAATTTTTGTATTTTTAGTAGAGATGGGTTTTCACCATGTTGGCTGGGCCAGCCTCGAACTCCTGACCTCAAGTGATCCGCCCACCTCGGCTCCCCAAAGTGCTGGGATTATAGGCGTGAGCCATCGCGCTCGGCCCGAGCAATCACTCTTGATACCACAAAGGTAAAGAGCAAATGGAGATGGGATGTGTATTACTTGATCTTTTTAATAATCTGTCGTGACGCATCAGCTTTTCTAATATTAATAATTCTACCTGAGGCAGTTGGATCACTAGGTCAGGAGATTGAGACCATCCCAGTTAACATGGTGAAACCGCATCTCTACTAAAAATGCAAAAAATTAACTGGGTGTGGTGGCACATGCCTGTAGTCCCAGCTGCTCAGAAAGCTGAGGCAGGAGAATCGCTTGAACCAAGGAGGCGGAGGTTGCAGTGAGCTGAGATTGTACCACTGCCCTCCAGCCTGGGCAACAGAGTGAGACTCTGTCTCAAAATAACAATAATAACAATAATTCTACCTCAAAACATATTGTAAATCCACACATCTCCCTACCTCTGCCCCCTCCACCCCAGCCGGGTGGCATAGTTAGTGATGTGAGTGATGCAGAGGCTTTTTTGAACCAACCACCTGGCCCTGCCTCCTCCTCCCATCCCTCCTCCAGGCTGACTGGCCTTCCCATAAGACAGATCAGAGCCTGTCATCCCTGTGCTCAAATCTTAGTGCTGAGCATAACATTCAAACACCTACACAGTTTCTGTCTTACTCATTACGTCAGGCCTCTGGTTTCCAGGAATTGGCAAAGCGCGTTCATCTCCAGGCTTAGAGCTTTTTC